TTTTTTTTTTTTTTTTTTTTTTATGTATGGTTTATATTGAGTATATTTTTGGTATATGATAAATAAATTTATCGCGAGACATAATTTTTATGTATAAAATCTATTTATATCTAGCATAAACTGAATTTTTTGTTGGTGTTATGTATAGGTATGGTTTTATATTAAGTAATCTTTTATATTATGTTTTTAAACTATATAAATACTTTTATATATAAAAGAAAAAGAAAAAAGAGGAACATATAATTTTTTGATGGAAGATATTTTTTTCATTACAACATATATTTTTTTTCATTACAACATATACTCAATATATACTAACATAAACGCAATATATACCACTTGATAACTGCGTGAATTAAGGAATTCCAGTTGCGCACATATACTGAATATATACTAACATATACGCAATATATACTACCTGACAGTTGCGTGAATTAAAAAATTTCAGTTGCGCGAATTAAGGAATTAAATGAGTAAGTTATTTATTTTCATTTCTCTCTCTTATGAGTCAACGTTTTTTTGTATGATAACTGAAATCAAGTAAATCTTCAATTAATTCAATAGGTTTAGGTACATATGTAATTAAATTTATAGTAGCTGCAAAATCGTAAATAAATCTACATCTTGTAGAAAAGATGAAAATTTCCCTTAATAAAACAATGGTGAAATAATTAGTTTAAATAAAGATTTACATGTGTCATAGTTAAGGAAAAGCTTCTTGAAGAGAGCATAGATGCATCTTTAAGCCAAAAAATCTAACCAATGTAGCAAGTATACTGTTGGAAGTAAAAGTATTCGACTAGTGAGCCGGTTGTAATTATGTGTTTGTTTTTTCTATGAATTATATCGTTTGGAAGAAGAAAAAAAAGAACTAAAAGTATATTATCAGTCAACTATATGATCCAAACCAAGGATTCATGTCATATGTGGAATTCCAATACACATGCTGGTTATTGCAAAGTTTAAATATTTTATTGTTCATGATATTGATTGATATGTTATTGGATCTTTGAATTAAAGATGCGCAGAGAATAAAAGATGGAGAATGAACAATGAAAGGAATGCTTGTATTGAACAATAAACTGCGGAAGAGAAAAGTAGGGTTTCTGTGTACAGGAGACCATATTTATACTAGAGTACATATGCCTATAGTTGCAATTTATAAGTAGCAACTTTACAAGGAATAAAGCTAAGATATAAAACATTAATATAAAAATAAAGTACAATAATAATATATGGGAGTTAATATCCCCCCGCAAGCTAAACATGAATATTACACATGTTAAGCTTGGAATCTAAAAAAGAAAAGGCAGGTCCAGGGAGGGGCTTGGTCAATATATCTGCAATCTGCTCTTTGGTAGGAATGTAATGCAACTGAATGATCTTGGAGCTGATTTTCTCTCTGATCAGATGGCAGTCCAATTGGATGTGTTTAGTCCTTTCGTGGAAGACAGGATTGGAGGCTATGGCAATAGCTGATTTGCTGTCACAAAAAACAGAAACTGGGGAGGGATGGATCAAGTGCAGTTCTTGAAATAAATATAAGAGCCATTGAACTTTACAAGATGTAGATGCAAGTGCCCTATATTCAGCTTCAGCTGAAGATCTACTAATAGTTGATTGTTTCTTAGATTTCCATGAAATAAGTGAATCCCCAAGAAACACAGCATAACCAGTTAAACTTTTTCTTGTATCTGGACAAACCCCCCAGTCACTATCACTATATGCAGTTAAAGTTAAACTAGAGGAATTAGAGTAAAACAAACCTTTACCAACTGTACCTTTGATGTATCTGAGGACTCTGTGGGCAGCAGAAAGGTGGGCTTTGGATGGGTTAGCCATAAACTGACTAAGTAACTGAACACTATATGATATATCAGGTCTGGTTATGGTCAGGTATAAAAGCCTGCCCACCAGCCTTCTATATTCAGAGGCATCAATTGTATCATTATTATCTGAAATGGAACTAAGTTTCAAAGTAGCATCCATTGGAGTTGTAGCAGGCTTACAACCCAAAAAACCAGTATCCTTGAGGATATCCAAAGCATATTTCCTTTGGCACATTTGAATGCCCTTATCAGAGTGAGCAAACTCAATGCCTAGGATATATTTCAAAATTCCCAAATCTTTAATAGTAAAACATTTATCAAGATGAGACTTTATAGCATTGATTTGGGATAAATTATTGCCAGCTATGATTATATCATCCACATAAACAAGTAGGGCCATAAAATTACCATTTTCAGATAAAGTAAAAAGAGAGCAATCTGAAATAGATTGGTGAAAACCATAAGAAAGCAGATAGGTAGTTAGTTTGTGAAACCACTGGCTTGAGGCCTGTTTGAGGCCATAAAGGCTTTTCAATAATTTGCATACTCTCTTATCACCTTTCTGACAATAACCAGGTGGGGATTTCATGAATACATCCTCATTTAAATCACCATGTAAAAATGCATTGTTTACATCAAGTTGGTGAACATGCCATTTCATGATAGAAGATAAAGCAACTAAGAATCTGACTGTAGTAATTTTTGCCACAGGAGAGAAGGTATCAAAATAGTCAATACCCTCTTCATGTGTGTAGCCTTTGGCTACCAATCTAGCTTTATACCTCTCTATAGTGCCATCAGATTTATATTTAACTTTATAAACCCATTTGCAGCCTATGCACTGCTTGTCACTTGGTAAATCTGTTAAAACCCAAGTGTTTGTATGTTCTAATGCATCAAGTTCTTTTCTCATGGCAGCCTGCCAAAGAGGATCTTTGGCAGCCTGTGTATATGAAGTAGGTTCAGTGACTTGTGATATGACAGCAGTATAACATGAATGAGATGAAGATAAATGCTTTGTAGACAAGTAATCAGAAATAGGATATGAGGTTGTTCCAGAAAGTATTTGTTCAAATAGGACACAGTTAGAAGAAGGTTTGAGTGAGTGCTTATAGATATCCAAATAAGCAAGAAGTTTATGGGGTCTGGTTGATCTTCTTGGAGGAGTTGTTTGAGTGGCTGTCTGGGTGTGAGTGGATTGTAAGACAGGAGAAAGGTGTTGGGGTGATTGTTGATGAGATGTATTCTGAGATAAGTGCTGAGTATGAACAGAAGATGTGTTCTGAGAGTGAACATGAGATGTGTTCTGAGAGTGAACAGGAGATGTGTTCTGAGATTGAACAGAAGGTGTGAGCTGAGAAAGTGAAGTTTCTGAGTATGGGAAGTTTGTTGGTTGGGGAAACAATTGTGATGGAGAATCTGAGGATTTGTTTGCAAAGGGAAAACAGGTTTCATAAAACTGAACATTTCTGGAAATTAATGTACTATTGGTTTCCAAGTTATAGAGTTTATAACCCTTATAACCTAATGGATAACCTAGAAAAATGCATTTGGATGCTCTTTTTGAAAATTTTGTTCTATGTGAAGTGAGAGTTGATGCATAACAAAGACAACCTATAACTTTGAGATGATCAAGAGTTGGTTGTTTATTGTACAGAATTTCAAAGGGAGATTTGTTTTGCAAAACTTTTGTGGGTATTCTATTGATGATATGGGCAGCAACCAAGACACAATCTGTCGAAAAAGATAAAGGTAATGATGCATGAAAGAGTAATGTTCTAGCAACTTGTAATAAATGTTGATGTTTTCTTTCAACTCGATCATTCTGTTGAGGAGTTTCAACATAGCTCTTTTGGTGAATGATGCCATGAGAATGATAGAAATCATGCATGAAAAATTCTGTGCCATTATCAGATCTGAGAACTTTGATCTTTTTATGAAACTGATTTGTGACCATGTTATAAAAATTTTGAATGCAATGTTTTGTATCTGATTTGTGAGATAATGGGTATATCCATGTGGTCCTACTATGATCATCAACAATAGTTAGAAAATAACTGTAACCATCATGAGATTTTGTATGGAAAGGTCCCCATATGTCACAATGTATGAGTTCAAAGCATTCTGATGCAATAGAAGAACTAATGGGAAAACTCAGTTTCTTTTGCTTAGCAAAATGACAAACATCACAAGGCATAGAATGAAAGCTATTACAATCAGGTACTGTGATAGGTAACTGTGACATTCTGGAATAAGAAAGATGTCCAAGTCTATGATGCCATATGTTTGTGATATCTCTACAAGGTTTATGATGAGAAGAAGAGTTTACATTGGAAAGGTTATCAACATTAGAACTAGTAGTATTAACAGAATGCAATAATGAGCAATCAGATCCCAGTTTGAGATGGTAGAGGCCATCTTTAAGTTCAGCAGAACCAATCACTTTCTGAGTGCTCAGGTCCTGTAATATGCAGTATGTGGACAGGAAAGTGACAGAGCAATTATTGGAAGAAACCAATTTTGAGACAGATATGAGATTGATGTGGAAACTAGAAACAAATAGCACATCATGCAGTTTTATTTGATCAGTTAAGTCTAGATGACCTTTGTGACATGCTTGAGTTTGTTGACCATTAGGCAGATTAATATATATATTGGCAGATAGTAGTGGTGCAGCAAAAAAATTCATATCACAGATCATGTGGTCAGTTGCACCAGTATCTAATATCCATGTGTGTTTGTTTAAAGTTCTAAAAGCCACAAGAGAGTAATGAGAAGTACCTGAGGGATAACTCATTCCTGAGATGGCAGAAGCTATCACAGGTGTATGATCAGCTCCTGAATGTTCCTTTGACTGTTTGAATGCTAAAAACTCAGCAAAGAGATCATTAGTCAATGGAGTATCAGTAGTTTTAGGCTCTGTTGTGTGAAGCAGGTTTGCAGAAGGGTTAGGAGGATTTGGTGGTGGTCTTGGTCCCTTAGGGCCAACCCAATTGGCAGGATAACCAATGAGTTGATAGCATTTTTCAGCAGTATGGCCAGTATAGCCACAGTGAGTACATTTGGGTCTTTTCTTGTCTTTAGGAAATTGAGGCTTGTAGTGTTTAGGTTGAGTGGTTTTAGCAAGCATGGCCATAGGATCAGATAGGGTTGTGGTGTTTTGAAGGCTTCTCTGAGATTCTTCTTGAAGTAAGAGGCTGTATATTTTGGTGAGGGAAGGCAGAGGTGTGGATAACAAAAAATGGCTCCTCAATGAAGAATAAGAATCATTGAGACCAATGAGGAACTTCATTACAGAATCCTGTTGTTGAGCTAATGACATAGACTCAAAAACATTGCAAGTACAGACAGAAAAAGCACCACATGTACATCGAAAAATAGGTCTATATGTGACATACTCATCCCACATGGCTTTGAAAGCATTGTAATACTGAGTTATTGACAAATGACCCTGATCCATTGTACTTAACGATTTTTCAAGCTGAAAAACTCTAGGACCACTACTCAGGGCATATCTATTTTTAATTTCATCCCAAACATCTTTGGCTGATGTGAAAAACAGAAGTGATTGACGTATATCTTTGCAAACTGAGTTTAAAATCCAGGAAAGGACGAGATTGTTTGCTCGCAGCCATGACACATATAAAACAGAATTATCAGGAGAAGGAGGAACAATTGTACCATCAATAAAACCTCCTTTGTTTTTGACGCTGAGCGCCATGACCACAGCACGCGACCACGAGACATAATTATCGCCGGAGAAGACCTCAGCGACTATCAACGCACCAGGATTGTCTGAGGCATGCAAGTAGAATGGTGTCGCAGGATCATCGGACGGATGTACGCTTGTTGCCATCGGAATTGTAGATCGGAGTTGTAGATCGGAGCAGATCTTGTAGCAATCGAAGGAACAGTCGTAGATCGGAACAACCACTGAAGCGATCAGAGATAATCGATGGCGATCGGAGTAAATCACCAGAAATCGAAGAAATCAGAGTAAAACGCCACAAATCGAAGTAAATTTGTGCGAGAAAAACGAAAAGGAAATCAGAGATCGATGCGGAAGCAGGAAAAACTGGCGATTGATACCATATTGGATCTTTGAATTAAAGATGCGCAGAGAATAAAAGATGGAGAATGAACAATGAAAGGAATGCCTGTATTGAACAATAAACTGCGGAAGAGAAAAGTAGGGTTTCTGTGTACAGGAGACCATATTTATACTAGAGTACATATGCCTATAGTTGCTATTTATAAGTAACAACTTTACAAGGAATAAAGCTAAGATATAAAACATTAATATAAAAATAAAGTACAATAATAATATATGGGAGTTAATATATGTTTTATTAGCAAAAGTATAACAATATATTATACAGCTTAGTTTTTTCTATCTATACAAATATTATACAAGACACAATCTTTCTACATACTTATTAAAGGACTAATACAATTACATAATTGCTTGTAAAGCATCGACCAATGATTCCCCTATTTACACGACGAGCCTTCCCACTTTGGCAATCGGAACCCTAATAAATGGCCATATGATCAAGAGACGACGTCATGCCCAGTTCCTCTGGGATCGAAGCTGAGTGAGTTTGTCCCTCCACAATGCTGCCACCCACCAGATAGTAAGTACAATGTTCGAAAACTTAAGTTACAAATTTTTAAAATGGCTTTGAGAATTTTCTACGTGATGCATCCGTTTATGTGGGCAGGTCAATTCTATGTCAGTTTATAGTTTGTACATTGGTTTCAAATAAGAACTCTTGTAAGTATAAAAAAAAAAAAAAAGAAAAGAAATTGACAATGCCCACATTATGAAAATTAATATCCACATTGAGGTGATCGACGATCTCTGGTTAATTTTATAATTTCCAGCCAGGAAATGACTTAAAACTAAATACGATTTAGTTCAGGGAGTAATTACTAATTTCACAAACTGCTGGGTACTATACCTGCATCCCGGTATCGTTCTTCAACAGCAGCAATTAGCATGTTACGCACTAAGTTGAATTCCTTTGTCTGAATGCACGGCTGCCCTGTAGGCCTGCATTCAAAACAACAAAAAGTCGTATTAAAAATCATATTAGAAAATTAAGTAGGCCAGCGAACTAATCTCAGATATCTTCTAATCCTCAATAGCTTGAGATAATCATACGTTTTTCAACATGGGACTAAAAGAATAAAAAAAATCCAGAAGCATATAGGATTTTATTTTATTTTATTTTTCTTTTTTCCTACAGAAAATGTGCTTCGCATACCTGTCCAGTTCAGCAAACAACAGGCCATCAGACGAGATTCTGTTAGTTGTCGCATTTGGAGATTCAATAACCGTCATACCATCACTGTATGCCAGGAACTTGTTCACTTGTATTGGCACCTGGTGACAATATCAAATGTTCTCTTAATAGGATAAATAAAAATGATTGCTTATTTTGATTGTTTATTCGTGTCCTACTATTTACGGCAAATAACTGATGTGTCGCTAAATTCAGAACCGAATACTCACCCACTTCATTGCTCTGCACTAATTAATAATTCCCAATTGCACGAATCGAACTAGATATTATAAGCATATTAGAAAGCAAATCGAACGCTTATTTAAAGACACGTTATAAATGCACGGACCAAAATACGAAAAACAGAATGCTTGAACCACAAAACCTACAGTTAACATCGATTAGGTCGACACATTTTAATCTCGTGAATTATTACCTTGCATCTCACTGCAATATTAATAGCATCCGAGGGTCGAAGATCCAAGCATATGCTCTCTGCTTCATTATCCAACTTCAAAAGACACAAAAGAATTTCCCGTGATTAACCAAAATAGTGACAAAAAAAGAAACAAAAAATGATCAGAAGCGTATAAATTAGCGTTGTTACGTGACAAACAAGGTGATTTTACCTTCGTAAGGTGCAACTCAGCAAAATAAGCCTCTTGTACTCTTTTGGTGACTCGTACGAGTTTAACCTGAATGCATAAATCCACGATACAAGCTTAAATAATTTGATTGTAGTTTGTACGACAAAGAAACGAATATCTAAAATGTCTATTAAAAAGACTCACCGTGTATCCCATCTTCTCAACCATATCATTCACCACTTGATACATTGTTGGTCTAGCCTGAACCACCAAGTGATGAATTAGCTTAACAAAGTAAAATCATAAAAAAAAAAAAAAAAAAAANNNNTGAAAAAATCATTAAAAAAAAAAAGAGAGAGAGAGAAAGGGCACTCATACGATTTGGACATTGCGTAGAGCTGCCATAAGAAGCACGCTCGGCATCTCCACTATAATAAAACCCATAATGAAAATAATAATAATCATAATATAGAATAACAAAGCAACTTTTCAATTGAGAGAAAGTGTTGACAGTATTATTTTGCACATACAAACAATTATTGGCAAAAGAAGCCCGGACCCATCTTCCATCTTCAAGACAATAGCAGGGTGAGGAGCATAATCCGGTAGACGACCTCCTAGAGGGTTATTATGGGAACATCTCAAATACTTACCATCTCTCATCTTGATCACGAAGCCTTCCGGCCCACTTTTCACCTCAACTGTTTAAAGTAATAATCCAGAAAGAAAAAATAAGATGTCCATCAATAAATCAATCCATTTCATAAAAAATATTGTTTACTTAAAAAAATCACAATATATAATACGAAAAATAATTTCTAATGGCATTCATGAGATTTTTTTTCAAAGAAAAAAAAAACACACACACTAATTACCTGCTTCAACTACGCTTGAGTTCACGTAATCTGAATCATTCTCGTTGGAATTTTCAGCCATGCTGCCATTACCATCTGATGACGAGCTGAAGCTATTTCGAATCATATTGCATTTCCTCGAGTTTTTTCGGTAACCCACATGATCAGTGTGGCCTACATTGAGCCGTTTAAGACCCCATAATCCATTTCTAACAAACTTAGCTTTCAGCAAGGGTGAGTCGAGAGGCACAGAGTGCACTTGGCTTTGTCTAGCGTGGACCACAGGGCAAATAACAGGACCTTGTAACGAAGCCATCTTGAATCTTTGAATGCATCAGGAAAAAAAAAAGTATTAAGTAATAGGAACCATATGAGGTTAACTTGTGTAAACATAACACAAGTTACAGATGAACCAAATTTAAATTTACAGGTCATACAAACAAATGATAACTGAAAATGCAGTACTATAGTATAAAGCATTCATAGACCGACCGGGATTATTTTCAGATATTATCGTCCTTTAGTCCAAAAATACCACCTATTTCCGGTTTCAAATTTTTTAACTAATTATAAGATTTCTCTTTTTTTACTCATCGTTCTCTTCAAGAAATGGCTAGGTATCAAATAATAGTCCAAAACATCTATGTGAAAATAGTCACTTTTATGCCAGACAGTCGGAAGATTCGATCCTGAAGGTATGCGCAGCGTGAGCACCGAGGGTTTCTCACCGTTGGATCACACGCATACACACACACACACACACACACCCACACGGGTGTGTGTTAATCCAATGGTGAGAGAAATCTACCCCCAACAGTCTTAATCACTCGCCTTATATTCGAATTCCAGAAAAGCCTTCGACTTTAGTTATCAAAATCGAAGCTAATAACACCAATCAAATAATCAGCCTGACATATCAATAATCAATAAACATTATAAACAAAAGAATTGCAAATCACCACACCACTCAGTACACACCAATCAACCTTCAGATCAACAAAAAAAACTCCAAGGAATAGAAGCAAGACTCAAGAACCTCGTATTACGTATCTCCAGACAAACAACCCCCGTAACATACTTACAGATCAAAAAAAAAATCATGAGAGATCACAAATCACAGCAAGAAATACTAAAATAGTACTTTATTCCTGTACGGTAATGAAACTTACAACCACACCTGAACTGATGAAGCCCACTGATCTTCCTTAAAAAGCTCGAACAAGCAGGACAGGAAAAAAAAAACAAGCCCACCAACAGCAGCTCCAAAACAAGAATTCGCCAATTACAGAGTATAACTATTTGTTTTTTTTTTTCCTTTTTTTTTTAATTTCTCTTTGAAGTGATTCTAATAAGAGGATCAAAATCAAGAAAACAACGATCGGGAGGCGAATAAGAGAAGAAAAAAGGCAGAGGATTACATGAATAAAAGGGGATGATCAGTTAACCAGTCATGGTGTTTAATACCGACAAGAAGATAGTGGATAGAGGAAAAAAGGAATGGCGTGAAAGATGAGAGCGCAAAATAAAAATGATTTTCTTTGAGAAAGAGAGAGAGAGAGTGTGTAATAAATAGTTAAAATAAAGGAAAATGCTACGGACCAGTTACAGAATTATTTTATCGAGGTTTGTAACCTTAGATCATTATGTAATTGTCGGGATAGTTGATACAAATGCCGACAGAATGATTCTATAATGGGACTGTAGCATCTCCATAAATTATAGTGCTCGGGTGAGTGAAATCGAGATTTTTTTTTTTTTGGTTTTTTTTTTTTTGAATGATAAAGAATTAAAAACAAAAGCACATAATTACAACTAGAGAACAACTATGCCGTACAATGTAATCATATAAAGTTTTCAGGTTCATTTTTTAAATGATGTGGTTATTTAATTTTTTTTCAAAAGTTGATTGTGTGTTTGTATATATATGAAAAATCTCAATCCCTATTTTATTCATGCTCAAAAATTTAACTCAACTTTAACATAATCTCACTCGCATCAATACTATTAAATAATATTAATTAAACATTCTTACACATCATATCAATTTTAATTTAATACTAATATAGTCACATAATTCTAACTAATTATTACTTCATATTTTTACATCAAATCAATTTAATTATTTTATTTTAAATATAATTTTAATATAAAATCAAAATTACCACCAACAACTATCATACCACTTTTTTTCAATATTAATTCTAGTTTGAAAAAAAAGAATAATAATAATAACTTATTTTGAGCGGAAATTTTTATATACAAATTCCGTGTGATTTTGAATGAAGCTTACGCAAACGCATAAGAAAATTTAAAAATTGAGTCTAGTTGTGTAATTCGGTGTGTTTGGATTAAGTTAATTTTAATGAAAGAAAACTTCAGGCAGTTAGATTATTTTTTTATGCGAAAAAAATTTAATTCGATTTCGATTCTATTTTTTCATAAGAGTGTAAAGGAACAAAGCCTAGACTATAGAAAATTATATTAAAAAGAATCATATTTTTCGAACTTTGTCAAGCCGAGTAGGGCCGAACTCGACCTTAAAAAACGAAGCTCACGACTAACTCATTTCGTTAAACAACTCTAATTTTCGTATATTTCAATTTGAAGAATTCACTTTTTATTAGGTTACGTGAGATTATAGACCAAACTGGTTAATACTTAATACAAATGATATAATCCTTTCGTAAGAAAGTGGGAAGGCATTTGTATCCTTTTTTAGAAATAAATAATATGCGCCCCAAATTTTGTGAATCCATGGTTTTGGATAAAATTCAATCCAGTGGGGACAGTATTGAAACTAGAATGGACTGGCTATAGTCAAAATATCTTCTCCAGATATTTTTTATAATCAATCTTTTTATTATTATTATTATTATTATTATTATTATTATTATTATTATTATTATTATTATTATTATTATTATTATTATTTTCAATAAACATCCGTAAATATTAGAATTAATTATTTATTTAAAA